AACAAGCTTCATTGTAGTCAGACAAAGGATTATTAAACGCTATGCAAATTGCAGCGTATCGAGGGTATTTAATGAACGCAATTCTTGCGTCGTCACGATTAATCAATTTCGCGGCACAATGTGCGATTTCCGTGTGACGCGTGCGAACCGGGGATCCCACGTGCAAGTATCAAAAATAATGCGACACTGACGTCAATAACGCGTGTACACGGAAAACTTGATTGTTATTTCCCTCTGTGCGAAAGGTAAATTAATTTTTTCTAATCTTGTTTACTATTAAAAGCCTTGGAAATTATAAAATTTCCAAATCGAATTGGAACCGATCATTCGAGAAAATTTAATATTCAGCATGATCGATTGAAATCTTAGAAAAGCGTCATTAATAACGCGGCTATGTTGATAGTTTCTCGGAATCGAGACGCGTTAAAACAATAAATTCGTGCGTAAAACTTCGAACAAAGTCAATAAGCGTCAAAGCAACCGGTCGATGTAATTACTTCGGCTTCATTTTAAGCAGGCATAAACATTATCCATTAGAGAAGCGTGTTTGCGCTTTTACGCGAGCAGATTGTGTTTGCGTTATTCGAGAAATTTACATAAGTCAGTAACCTAGCGGCTGCGTGACGCGATAATATTTCTGAAACGATTATCGACTAATTGTTCGACGAGAACTCGCTCGTTCCGCTTGTTTATTACGTTTCTAGCCTGTTCCCTTTTAATCGTCCGCTTACGTTTCACTTGTCGGGAAATTAAAATCATGAAAGAGAACCGATTTAAACTGGTTCGATTCGAACGAAGAATATTTAACCTTAGAGGAAAAAATAGTAACAGTGAACGGAGGACTTTGAATATGATAATTTAGCGAATAAAATTTATGAAAAATAAAAAGATTTTTCATCTCGAAAGTTCTTCTATACGCTCATTGTCAAGTTCAATAAATTAAAACACGTGGAGCGATTCGATGTTTGAAATCAGAATAAAGGAATCCCCTCTCGCTACGTTTTATTTTGATCAAAACTGGCTCGTGTACGACACGTGTTAAATTCGACCCCATAGAAATCCGTGCGATTCCACGTGCGCGTCATTTTCACAGCGACTTTCCATCCCCGAAATCGGAGCATCCCGCAAATTACCCCTACACGCGCGCTTCTACACGTCCACCCACGTCTGACTGAATAAAATCGCGGGGAAAGCTTGTAAAGCGGTAAAACCTACCGTAAGAATCCCTGGGTCGTTTCTTTGTCGTTTCAGACTGGACGGGTTATTAGTCTGAAGTTCGTAATAGCGAAATTTCAGTGAAACGCATGGGCGTTAGACACGTGCGATCGTACCTGACGTTTATTTATGTCCTTCTATTTTATGCAACGAACTATAGTCGACCTGTACTCACCTATTATAGTTCGTTACTCTTGCTCTAAAGTTACTCTTATTCTATAAATAAGAACGCTTAGTCACTTGGTGCATAGTTGGTTAGCGTACTGGGTGCGCAAAGAAGTTGGGGTCAAACTTTGACAGCCTGTGGTATTCATATGAATAAACAAAGTTTTAACGAACATGGGTAACAAATTGTACGTAGAAAAATATGCCCTGTGGCTCGGGGATCAGAATACGGCCACGGTAATCCCTGCCTGTCGTAAGAGGCGACTAAAAGGGATAAATAGAGAGAAAAAAATAACAGTATTGATGAGAAATTTAATGCGAAATAAAATTAATTCAAAACTGTCGATTGACATTTCGTTGCGTACAATTTCTCAGCAGATTGAAGGAAGAAGAAAAAGTGGCTGAAGGGATATCTCACCTGTGAATAGATTAACCTTTTCCTCGGCGTGTCGGTGTTCGCCGAGGAGATCCGTGAGATCCGTGTCGCGCAGGTGAAAAAGTCACGAGTCATGGGAAGATCAATGGGAAAAAACTCATTCATTCGATGTCTGTTCTTAGATTCGTCAGGTAGACTAGAACGTGCTTTATTCGTGTAGTGTGATGTACCGCTCTAAATTTGGCCCGCGAAACTGGCTGCAATTTTGCACGCTGACATTAATACGGTTCTAGTATTGAAATATTAATTATCGAATATCGAATATAAATATTGAACGGTGATTTGATAGATTTTGAGATAAATTTGCAATTATATTCGGGAAGGAAGAAATTCTCTCGATCGCTTTGTGAAAAGAAGCGTGGGTGATATATGGAGATGAATTCCAACAGCACTAACGGAGAAAGTTTATCTGTTTTCCATCTGCTTCTCAGTTTATATTATAAATCAAGGAAGCATATCTTGCGTGGTTATTAACCTGTGAATTGGATTCCAAATTCTAATAATAAGATCTCTTGCAATGATTCTTTTAAGAAATTATTTTAATTTTCTAGGTTTAATTACTGTAACTTAATATCTTCGTGTATAATTATTTTTAAATTAAATTACCTCTGTTTTCATTTTATTTTATTCTCTTCGTTCACTTAATCGTACATTCCTATAAGACACTATTATCATGCCGTACCGGTTTTCTTCAGTTCATCTGTTAAATGTTTCTTCGCTGGTGTTCCAGTCGTTTAAATCATCGCGTTGATACTCATAAAGATACTCATTCCTCTGGTGTTGTTTCAAGTTCGATCCGATACATATCACGATCCATCAATCGTGAATCAGACTAAAGCAATTCATTTCTATTCAATCAGCACATCTTTCCTCTTATACAGTTCTGTATCAATAATTCCAAGGCTCCTACTATATCCGATTAATCCAAAACGACGCATCGTTCCATGAATAATATTTGTATCGATTATTCATAAGAAATATATCTTAACAAACGTATTAATAATTCGCGCGTATATTATTCAGTTTCAAAATTAGCGACTGGTATCATCCGACTTTCCTTGAAATCATTTCCACTATTCGAATAAGAATCAAAGTCATCGGGAGTAGAATTTCAATTTTATCGCTTTGCTACAGAATAAAAAAATTTGCAAATTTTAATGTTACGCCTCGGACGGCGGACCACGGAGAGAGTCCCAATCGTAAAACGATTATCCAACAGTGTTACTTAACGAAAATACAATATCGAGCATATTATAGATTAATATTATTCCAGAGATCGGTATTTTTGATGTTACGAAAAGCATTTGCGATGCATTGTCTGCACTTTCACGTTTTTCGTGGCCGGTTACCATTGTTCCCGACTTTTTGGGCCCGAAGCGAACGACGACGATCGATTCCCAGAATCTTGACCCACCCGAAAACCACTTTGGAAAACGCATTTCTTGGAAAAAGTGGAGGAGCGCGGGAATCGAAAGTAAACATGGCTTTCGCTTCGAAAAGAAAAAAACGAGTAAAAGCACGATTTCGTATAATTCTTTTAACATCGATCTTTTTTTTACCTCTTCCTTGTTGTTTTCGGTGTTAATTTAAAACTTGCGCATTGGCTGAATCGAAGGACAATGAAAGTCAGAGATTCGACGCATTAGACTGGTTTGAAAAACAATTTCGACTCGGTGTTTACGGAGGAAACGAAGAAAATGAATATTTACATTGGAAACGATTGCAATTTCGGTATTGCGTTCGCGAAGAAGCAAGGTTCAAAGGACTCGATGAAAGAATTTTTTCACGTTCAAAGTTCAAACGAATCGATATTGCAAATGAAACGTAATTTATCCTTCGTTCGTTTATTTCGACTTAGAAGACTTAAAAACAGCAGGAAATCGATAGGTAGTGTAATTACGACGATGTTGAACTGAGAATCTCTGTGCTTCGCTAATCTCGAGAGGTGTCTCTCGACGTATGCCCGCTTATGAATGTAACACCGAGGGCGGTGACTGACATTTTTACGTTAAAGATAAGCCTACGCGTTTCCTTTTTTCTTCTCCGCATAATTTGGTGGGGTGTGACAACCGCCTTTCATTTCCTGGGCTTTTTGTACCCCTGCTGCGTGGGAGATGAATCGGTATTCAGTTGCATAGTTTCACCGTTCACGACTGCATCCATAAAAGACTTTTCATTCAGTCTCACACGCGAATACCTTTCGAACAAACTCGTCGAACGGCTAGAATAATAGCAACGTTCGTTAGATTTTAACAATGTATCCCGGAAAATGCATCGTTTAGTGCATGCATTTTAATGGATGCGTTTACTGGAAACAGTACGCTTCTTGGATCTTCTTAATTAGTATCACGTAATCTCTTGTGGTTTGAAAAATTTTTTAAAGTTATGTAAGGAAACCAATTACTCCCGCGACTGGATTATAATTTCTTGTCTATATATAGCTTTATAAAAATAAATGTAAATATTTTAAATATTAAATTTAAATATTTTAAATATCTCTACATAGGGTAATCTCTATACGTATGATTGACTCTTTTTCTAAAAAAGTAGAAAATACAATGCGTTTCTTACATAATGATCTATAATTCTAATCCTATATTTAAAATTTAGAAAATTAAAATAATATCAAGTACAGAATTAAGTTAGAATTATATTTCTTTTGTATAAAAAATGTAATTAAACTGAAAAGCATTCCCTTGAAATACTTCAATCTTTCCTAACATGATTTATAAAATATACCATTTGTTTATTTATTCAAAGACTCCAGTGTTTCATTGTATAGTGAAAACGACGTTATATTTCTTTCTTGCGTTTATTAAAATCTTACGTAAATGTATACAACGATTGAATAAGTGTATTTTGTGCTCTTACTGAAACACATGCAAAAGTATCTAACCAAGATATGATTGGTTATCGTAGGAACCCAGTCATTATTTATTTATCAACATGCGCTGGTACACGTCGGCGCCACGCGCGGAGAATCCCTGCTCCCGTGTGCCTGTGCACGGTACACGCGTATTAATACGCACACAGTAAAACGCCTGTCACGCACACAGTTGCCCTGGGTTGCGTAGATGGGGCTTTTCTGCCTGGCTTTCCTCTTTCCCCACTCCACCCCTTCCCTTCGCTGTCCGCCAATCACCGCGCTGCCCAACCCACACCGCGGTTATATAAAGATCCCGTGCTACCGCGGGTACTTTCAGTCAGATTCGAGACCTCGTAGCGGTCATATCCTTCGTTTCTATCAATTTCGAATAATCGAACAAAACGAAACTTTGTAACCGTTTTCTCGTCGAGATTCGACATTTCGCATTTTGAAAGTTCGTAAACCAGTGAAAGACAGTGCGTCCACTATTTGTGCTTCGTCTGCCGTCCAGTTTTCGAAGATATTTACTGCGAAATGTAAGTTAAACAATTTGCATATTAACTTTGTTACGTTTCACGAACGTATATGTTGGCATGTACGAGAGGTGTGCGCGAATGTTTGATGTAGACTCATCGAACGGAATGTGAACGGTACAAAAGTGATTTCTGATATGATGTTTGTAACGAAACGTGGATACCTTGTTTTTAGTGTTCGCTCATGCTTTCACCGTGTTTTTCTTCGAAGAAAGTACGTCGGAAGCATGAAGCGACTTTTATTGACTTTGTTTGTTTAACATTCCCGATAATCGTCTCGGAGATGTCAAGTATGAAAGTTTGCTTTGTAGGAATGATAGAGGATGATTTTTGATTTTTAAAGCGAACAAACTAGCGTAGCGTGGGAATCAATACTCTCTCCATCGCATCGCGTCGTTGAGTCGTGTGACTAACTTCAGATTGCTTCTTCCTTCTGACGCCCCAACGGTCGTTGGAGCGTGCATCGACCGAAGTTTTTGACCGTTCGGTGTCGATGATCTAAAGATTCTCGGGTAGACAAATTGCTCACCGGTTCGAGCTTGAAAATTTAGAATCTTAAGTTTCAAGATCAGGTCTTTTAGTCGCGAAATGAATATACGGGGGCGAATGATTAATATTTTCTAAGGCGTCGTCGTTGATACGGGACAAACGAGGTCACGTTTCAATGTTGGTTGCACTGTTTGTTTGTGTAAAATACTTGCTGGAAACCCGTTACGCCAGTCGTGTGACGGTGACTTCCAGGGACGGAATTTTAATTTCTCAATCCTGTTAACGCTTCGCTGCATTCCTCACCGTTTCACTCATGCGTGTCGCCTGCGAACATTTTGTCGGACGCCTGTGGACACTATAAGCAAAACACCGTAACGCCGAGTTAATTCTCCGTGCAGCAATATTTCAGTTCGAAACACCACGTATACGTATCTCAATAACGGATCTCCGTTCCCGGTCAACAGTCGCTTTAGCAGGAAAAAGAAAATAATTTGAATAATTACAAGGAAAGTATTTTGCGCAACAACGAAGCTGCGACTTTTGAACAGGAATATGCAACCTGCCGCTTCAAATTCAAATTTCCCGCCAGATCTCTATAAAGCATTTTTTTAATTTTAAGATGAATAAGAAATTATACCATGCCGAATTTATTTTATTACAGTACATAATAATATAACAATCCCTCTTTTTATTATAATAATTGTAAATTTAATATTTTGTACATTACTAATTTTCTTTTTTTAAATCACTCAAGAGACTTAAAATTGCCCGGGTAGTTGCAACTTTGTTACCCTCGCCGTATCTAGTGGCGATGACTTAAAAAGGAAACCGTGATCCACTGCCATCCCATACACAACTCGGTACATTATGCAATCGAAGGTCCTCGCAATGTCGTCGCTCTGCGGCAATTTAAATATTGCAATTACATAAAGTCTCCAGAATCATAGCTCGCACGATTTTCTTGTTCCGTGACGAGTAACGATACTCAGCTGTTCCTTTATAGAAAAAAAAAAAACAAAACTTAAATTATTCTTTAATTGCAATATTCATTAGCAGTTATAATCAGTAGATAATGAAATACATATGTATTTCTGAAGTCACTTTCAACCTTATTCCCATTTTCTAAATGCATCGTTGCACGCCTTTCATTGCCCTGGGTCACAGTTGACCCACCCCATTATTCTTGGAGGGTTAACACAATATGGTGTTTGTATAAAGCGGAAAATAATGGAGATTTCAAATTTCGCATCCCGTTGTTAGAGCGACCTGATTCTGCTTTCGTTCTGTATCCACGCATCCGCGTGGGAGTTTAGCCAGAATAGCTAGCGAGGTCGATCGATATCTCGAATTTAGCCCCCTCCCTGTATCTCGAGAGATCGTCACCACCTCGAGGGTTGTTGGCCTCGTTTCAACCCCTCGAGGAATCGGTTGCGTACAGGGTGTCCCGAGTGGCTGTCTGAAGCAACTTGTAAATGAATTCAAAATGCTATCGAGTAGGGGTTCGAATCAGGCATCTAGGTATTTAAAATTAAAATGAAAATTAAGATTACATAGAAGCAAACTATCAGGGTGGAAGCAGATACACAAAACGCACATCCGCTTCCGGTTGTCGGTAAGACATTTCCTTAAGGAAAAAAATTTTTTCTGTTTACTCGAACTTTGTAACTGGGCATTTTCTGCAGTACATAGAAAATAAGCCAGTTTCAAGGTTCCTTTTCCTCAGAACCTACTGCAGCTATCAATTTCAAATTAGACATTGCGTAAACCTTAAAATACATTGAAATTGTAGATGCAAATCGAGATCGCTTAATATAAATATATCTACCAGTCTGGTGGCATAAAGGTTACGTATAAATATCACCATCGTTTTCCAATGCCATTCTCAATCAATATAATTTAAATTACAATGGATTAAAATTGGCTCAAAGAATCATTGTTTCGATCTTCTATATTTTTCAAACGAAGAGCACAAAGGAAGATTCTTTTTTTCAACCTAGATTTGAAATTCGCATCTGCACTTGTAAAAGTAATCCACTAAAGTAGGTCTAATTAATTTGTGAAAGTGTCGAATGAAATTATTTCAAAATCTAGATGATTTATTTCGCCCTTTCTAATTTATAAATTATTTAATTGAAAAGTAAATGATAATACGGATCCGCAGTCCATGAAATAATCGCAACTTCTATTTGAAAAATACGGTTGAAACTAGAAATAGATAATTATATCAGTCTCAGTTGAAAATTCGTTCATTTGCAATGCAATCTAATGGAAGCTCGTTCCCATTACATGTAAGAAGAATCCAAAAGATTTCAACAAACGATCGTACATTTTTCCATTAACATTGAATCGAACGAGTTGCCTATAAAACATGCATGTGAAACTAAACTATCCATTATTCATGCCACAGAGCTAGATAAAACAAGCGGTGGGGAAAAAAGGTAAACGTTAATTACCTCGGAAGGAATTACCAATTTGACTCGTTTGAAAAATCCAAGCTTTGCGAAACGATCCCCGAGACTTCAATATGTAGTTCTTTTCCTATCGTACAACACCGAAGGGGGTATCGATTGTTCGCGCGTTGAAAAGAGAACAAAGAATAAAGAAACGCGCGCCAAGCCGGATAAGAAAGGTTAAATAGAATCGCGGGGCTCTCTGGGTAGGTTTGTTCTTCGTATTCGAGGACGCGTCGAAAATTCAAAGTTAACCAGCACCGACCTCGAGGAAAGTCTACTTCTCGATGCATGGCATAGTAGCCTCGCTCCTTCGGGCTCCCTCTTCTATTCTCGGGGTAGCCTGAGAAAATAAAAATACGGCATCGCGTGGCGGAGGCTCCTTCCAACTATCCTCTTGGGATTCTTGCCAACAGTTCGCGAACCCGTTTTCCTCGTAAACTAACGGGTCAAAACCGGCGAAAGCGTTTCTTCGAGTTAATCTTAGATACGAGTCACGCGAGGGCCAGTAAAAGGTGTCGAAGAGGGTTAATCATGCGGTAAGCAACCTTCGAAGTGGCTGTTTCTAGGCATAAAACGAACAGATCCTTTCGATCTTTGGTAGTTTATTTAGTGTCTAGGGGAAAGCGGTCTTGGGGCTGATCTTAAACCCCAGTCACGCGAAGGGAGCGAAATGTGCTCGAAGGGTTAATCCTGCGGTAACTAACTTCCAGAGTGAAGACATCTGCGTTTAGAGCGAACGAATATTTTTGAAATTGATAGTTTAGTTTCAGGCTATGTTAAGTACAAATTTTAAGAATTTGCAACATTGTTGCTAATCGAGAGACCGCGCTTCTGGAAAAATTTCGACTTGCAACATTGTCGGACGCCGAGAAATTCCGAATTTGTTCAATTGCGATCAGGTGCATTGCATCGCATCTTATGCAGAAAAATATCGCATAATACGTCATAATCTTCCTATATCCAATATAGTCTCTACGTCACTGTTTCATTCTATGCACCCTTTAACTACGTCACGAGTAATTTTGCCTCGCTCAACGTTTCATTGAAAATTTCACCCACGATTAAACTTTTCCCGTGCAATCATCGGAAATCTATATCGAGCCGATGAATTGAAAGAAGCTTGCAAAATCAAAGATTTCACGCTGAATTAATTGACAAAGCAATCGAGGCGTTCTCCGATTGCAAAAGTAAAAATTTCCTAGCTGCAACGATTGATTGCGAAAATAGAAATTCAGCAGCGTTGGTTGCGTTACTGCAACGGGTAAAGGGTAATGATCTTTTGCCGCTATAATCATCGGTAACGTTTGATTCAAATAAATGTTGAACGATTGTATTATTGCAACAGCTAATGATAGCCTTCGAAGCGTTTGATTATAAAAATAAACTTCAGAAATTCAATGATGTAAATCAACCTTGATACACTTATATAAAATAATTAATCCGAACGTTTAAGTTCGACATAAAATCAAGCAATATTGTGTTACCAATGAATTCTTAAATACAACTTCCAATATGCCTGCATTTATATAACCAGAAAGGGGGGATGTTGTTCTATTAAAAGCAGTGATTTTATCGATTTAAAGTTCCCTTATGTATAATTGAAAACGTAACGCACGCGGCTATAGAACGATACTTGGTTTTGTATTCTTACGGTTCAAAATAATCGCAGTATTTTTAGAATCAACTATTTTTACAATTGTGTTACTGTTGCTTTTAGAAACGACGCATTGACACGCGGGGGATATCCCCTTTAATGTTCCTTTTTCCCCGCCTTTATTTGCATGTATTAAGATTATAATTATAAGGTTGTGAAAGTTTATGCAAATATGTTCTTTTTTATCTTAATAATTTCTCTTTTAAGTTGGAACTCGTAGAATTTGCTTGTACTTTGTATACTTTCTTGTGTCATAAATGCATAAATATTTACAGTCTAATAATGCTTTCTTTTTTATATGCAAGAGATAGTAATTTTGCAACGATATCCTTCTGTTTTTATTTCTATTTTAAGAATAATAATCTTAATATGTATTCTCATTAGCGTAATTATTTTTCCGAATTTCTTACAGCGATCCTAAAACGATATCACTAATTGAAAATAGATGAATAGAACAATCGTCTAAAGCTGTTCAAACAAACGACGACGACAGATGTCTGTCCATCTCGTTTTACGTAAAACGCGGAAACGCAGTTAACGTTTCGTAAACACGTGTCACTGTTAGATAATGAATCGATTTCGGGTTCATTGATCGACGGATCTGTACAGAAAACGTTGTTGAGGAGGAAATTAGGCTGCTCTGATAAATGGAAGTTGCATTTACTTTCAACTGGATAGAATTACTCATAGTTGCTTACAATTGTGCAAATCCAAACTACGTTCAACCCGTTTCCCTTTTTCGTCTCTTTCCGTTTTCCAAACGACAGCAAAATTGCAGTCGCTTGCGTAAGCGTTTTATCTCGACGTTATAGATCCCCATTTCATACGATCTTCTGAATTAATAAATGATAATCTTTCGAACTCTGATCTTGATCATTGTAATAAAATGTAACATGATGTAAATTTCAGTAATATTTTAAAACTAGTTAGTTAATTAGCTGACAACGAAGATTATTAAGCTCTAAGAATATTAATTTCTTGCAAGAATTATAAATTTTGTATTACTAACATGTTTTATGGTGTATCGTTTCGCAAAGAAACATTTTCGTTTTCCATCTGTCTAACAGATTATACAATCTGTTACAACAAGTGGGCTCTTCACTTGGTCAAAATAAAAGATTCAGAGCATGTCTCGCAATCGCATTGAGCTTTCTTCCTAGGGAGAAAGTAAAAGTGACCGTGTTGTTCCGTGCCAAGGCGAGATACGGTGGTGAAACTTATCGTGGTTGTCCTTCGCGGTTCGCGTTCGTGTGCCACATATGTACCTACTACATATTCTTTGATTCGTTTAGCGACTTTTAAACCTTTCCACCGTCAGGGAAATACCAGTATCAGACCTTGGATTACATAGGAGAATTCTTAATCTGGGATTCTCCTGGAACACGTCCTTGTATCACTTGCAATTATACTCTATTTTTATCTTACAATTATTCCCTTCTTTTTGTTTCAGTTATAACTCATCAAAACAACATGTCTGTAACTACGTCTGTACAACCTGCTACCGAGAGTCTCTCTCGCCATGGGTAAGTTATTTTCTTCAATTTTCCAAAAGTATATTTAACTTTAAGTAGAGCATTCTTTCAAGTCCTCTGAACATCTATTGATTTACTTTTTCCTCCTCGATAAACATGACAGAGACACGTAATACTTAACTCACAAAAAGGTGTGTATATTATAACACTAGACGCGGAGACACAGCGAGGTCGATTTGCAGAATCACATTATTAGAGCTGCATTATTCGTGGAAGTCTAGTGCTTTGACGATGTGGCGCCTGCACTTGTTACACTGCTGTGCCTGAGAAACCACGAAGGACGACGTTCAGAGAAGTATCCGAGTCAGATTCGAATTTGTGTAACTAAATTACTGCAGTTTTACATATCCCCGTTATATGCGAATAGTTTCAATTAGTCTTCTTTCTTTTTCCAGGAACAATTTTTTTTTTTTTTGTTTTAAACATTTCTTGCCTTGAATATTATATTGCAGGTTGAGTAGAATACACCTATTGAAATACAATCGCTCCAGGTTCTCTTACTCCGCTAGGAATTGATACACAGCGATATTTTAACATAGGGAGAGAAACCTCGACCGAGATTCGAACCCGGATCTGTTTTACTCGTCGACCAACAATTAAATTATTCGGGTCATCGTTGATTTCTTTTTCTCGAGCCCCGTATTCGTTGTATTTGCGTTCTTTATCTTCAGTCTAAAAATGATACATAGAATTTTGTCTGCAACCGTATCAGATCAACTAAAACCTCTTAGTTAAATTTATAGTCAGTGCAGACTTTTCTCCTAGCCTCGTCTCCTTTTTCCCTTTTCTTCTTCGACTACTTTATGGTTTCCTATTTCTTGTTAAGAATAAACTGTTGAAATGGTAGCTCCCTGCCATAAATTTTCCTTAAGTGCAACCATAAGAGCTTGGCTCAGGCCAGGATCTTCTCCATTTCCTAAAATAAGATGTAACGTTTGTTGAAACCAAGCGAAACTATAAATACTGTAGAATTAACCCACATAATTCGGAACGCAAATTTTACACTTTGTTCAAACGATTCCTACGCAGTCGCCGTTTTTCTCACGGTTCGAAGCGTGAAGAATTTCGTTCGCTTCATCGCGGTTAATTAACGTTTAACGTGAGCCGGAAATTCTGGAAATTGCTGCGTGCCAGAGGTAGAAGAGAGAGAGAGAGAGAGAGATGAGCCGAGTAAAGTGATAGAGAAAGAAAGGGGAGAGAACGGTTTAATCCTTTAACCTATACGGTCACGTTGTTCCACGGTTAATGATGTGCGCGATGCGTAAGTTAATTCCACGTGCACAGCGTACAAAGGGCAGCGATATTTGCCTACGCAATCTTGAATAAAGGAAGCTCGAACGGTGTTCCGATTTTTGCAAAAATGCGTTCAAGCCTGATTTATAGATTATTACATTTCTCTAACGCAGGGCCGGCTAAGGGTTTTTTTGTGGCCCGCCAAGATAGAAAAATCCTCTTTGAACCGAGATCTCCTTCCCGTGCGCGACAAAAGATTCGTCTCGAATTTTAAATAAATTGAATAAAACTAATGAATGCAAATTTTAAAGGGTGCGGGCCCTCCCGTTAACCTCTTCCACCCCTGCTCTAACGCAATCTACCCTGAAATTTATCCGTGCTGTTTATTTTATGCAATTATGTAAGGGAATTGAAATTTTTTAATCAATTACAAGGCTAAGAATAAGCTCAAGGGTAAAGTCTGATTGATTCTCTGCAATTCTCGTTCCGTGAAATCGTTGACCATTGAAAAATCGTCGAGAAAAACGAGCTTAATGCCTCCTTGTTCTCGTTAATTCCAAGATTTGCGCGTCATTCCGCTTCGCACACGCGCGTGAAACTGCGCAAACCGTTTATTACGTGCTCGTTCACGTTACCATCACGTGAAAGGAACGTTTTCCTTCCTGATTTTCATATCTGCATATCTTACCATAACGTATTTAACATAGACGCGGCGATGGTTTAACCGAACACCTCCAGTAGCTTTGGAATTTGAATTTCATTCAAAATTAGACGTGTCTGAAAGTTACAAGCCTTGAAGATCTTGATCTTTCATAATTAATTGATCGTATCAGTGTTTCACAAGCAACTAGGAAAAGATAATATCGTATTAATACAATGTAGGAAGTAATTTATATAGAAAGATTATTGAATATACATTTGGTATACGTCAGGGTCGGCTCTGAGATTTCGCGGGTCCGAAAAAGGGCTCCTTCATAAAAAAAAGTAGCTCAAATAAAATTTATAAAATTAATATTAAAACTTGTATAACTAATTTGGATTTTCATTCTTAGACACAAAATCGTCTTATGGGGGCCCTAGGCCCAGGGCCGGCCCTGGTATACGTACTTCTTACGTCTTTCAAGATACAATCGCATGAAAATTAATCTCCTAATCATAATTTCAACAAATAAGTCGAGACACGATAAGACAGTGGAAAAGAATTCCCCGCGACTGATATCCTTGCTTTGATTATTCCTCCATTATTATCACCTGGAAACGATCGCTTCTCCATTGTCGATTAGCCTCTTTTCCTTTTACTCGTTGATGGACGCTAAATACCTGAAACGTTTTACGAATAGTGTCACGAATCTGCTAACAAGATGTCAGAAGTGAAATCTTGAACGGGTTTCTCGTAGTTCAAACAGAGAACTACCATACGCTTCTTCGGCTGATTAAAAGTCATAACGGTAAGAATTTATCTTACGTACGAAATCTGTGCATAAACAGACGTCTGTGTAACGGTAGGCTAAAGAAAAAAGAGAGTAGAAAAAGAACCTTGGTGTATCTACCTGATTTCTTCCGGGTTTAACGCACGAAAGTGTTCAAGGCCAACATCTCGATCCGATCTTTCATCGACGGCCCCGTCAGATTCCACCGAAGAGAATTTATGTTTCATTTATCTTTGATTGCTTTGGCAAACTGTTAATCGAAGATCGTTGATAAGATCCTTTAGCTATCTTTTCTTGGAATTTTACTGAATCTCTGTTATCCATTATTCAGTTCACTCTGATTCTTTCTGTAGAAAGGTTACTAAGGTTCTGCAAAAAATTCCAATTAAAAATTTAAAAAAAAAAATGTAATATTCCTGACATCAATTTTGTTACTCATCGTTAGACTGCAGATATCTATGATTACACATGTTTTTATGAAATATCTTTTTTTCTATACAATTGAAAGTATGCTCTACATAAATATCTGTAATTATTGCAACTTTTTTTGCATTATTTAACCCTCGTGATCGGCTGGGTTAATTCACGTGCAGAGAATATCTTGAAAAAATATAGTGACTCGAAGATTCTTGATAAAATCTTACACTCTCACGTTGGTCTCGTGCCGGGACCACAAGAGGGTTAACAAAATGTAATGCAACGAATGGTGTACTAATAGATATCGTCTTTGTTCTGTTATCTTTAGGAGCAACATCTCTCTGTCCTGCTATAGCTCATGCGGGAGCGTTGACGATGGCCTCCAAGGATCTCACCCTCAATACCAGGATACGATCCTTACGATTGAGGAACTTCGTGCTCAACTGAACTCTTGCTTCACGTGAGTTTCGCAGCACGATTCCTTTCTCCTTCGTTTCATGTCTTCATCATCTCGCCAGACTATTGTTTTTATACGAGCTGGGTTAATATACAGGGTGTCTAAGAACTCTTGGGAATAGGGCGTTGCTGGAGTGACTCTGAGGCACCCTGTATATCAAAAGGTTTGCTTAAAGTTCCATGAAATTTTTGCTCGGAGCAAACCTGTATATTGTGTCATTGTAAAATTAACGAAAAAATCTATTTTCTAGAAAGCTAATATTTTACTAAAAGTAGAAAGGACAATAATTAATTTAAAAAATAGAATGAAAGCAGAGGTGCGATAATGTTATCTAAACGAGTTATCGCTATACCTAAAATAATCTATGAAATTTCAGACGATTTTTATCATATTACGTTGTAACACGCACTTGTGCGACATGTTTCGCGAGAAGATAGCTTGATAAAAGTGTCGTGACTGATTCAACATCGGCTATCAGAAACAATTAACCCGGCCGGGTCTTCCCTTTATGTAATTTTTAATATAGGCCATTAATTACGCGATTCGCCTTGGGCTATTGACTCCTAATTGCTTCGTGGTCCTATGCGATTTCTCTTGTTGCCCCAGATGATTGAACAGCTTACTCATTGTATACAGAATATTAACACTTAAATGACCGGCATTGAAACAAGAGAAATCTCGTGGCAAAAGCATCTGACAGCAAGAAGTTTGCCCGTTGAACCTGACAATTTTTTATCATGTAAATTTATTTCCATACTAGGATGTGATGGTAATTAAACCTTTGAAAAAAAAAAAAAGATGTAATGCAGGAGCTCGTATGAAAGACATTAAAATGGCCGAGATTGAACTTAAGACATTTAAGACTTACCCTATTGGCTTTACGATTACTTCCACACCGTGATTTTATAATCATAAAAATAGGACATTGAAGGGCTACATTAACTGACATAATCATCTTCTACCGTACTTGACCTTCAGTGTCATTGAACATAATTATCACCTTTCATTCGCATATTTTTATAATTATTTATAAGACGCATTTCTCGATCGAAGACCTTTTGAATTTTCTAGATGCGGTGTCTCGTGGAGCGAAGAACACGTCTCTCTTGATTGCAGCGAATGTGGTGGTTATTCCCTTCAGCGGCCGTGTCCACTTTGTGATGGACGTTGCCGCACCTCGTGGAAACGCGACCTTACCATGGTAAACACCTGTTTTAAATGAGTTCATCGCACCATAAAAAATATGAAAGAAAATCGCTGAAAATATCCATACATTTTACGTATTCCTTATATTCCTAATAATGTGAAAAGTTATAATACCCTCTTACGTAGATCGTTACGTATGTATACATACTTATGCAGAATCTACGCGAAAAGGAATACGTAATGATTGACGTCTGTTCAAATAGGAAAAAAGGTGATTAGTCGTTAAACGAAAGGCTCGATAGACGTCACAACGTGGAACAGTTGCTCTTATCGATTTCGCGAATGGCTTTTACAACAGCTTCGTGTCGCTACGAAGGTCATATTAAACAACTGCTTTGTTCGTGATAAGTTCGATCGTATGCGAACAGTCGATAAGGGTAAGCTTTTAATGTCAGCTTGCCATAGGTGTTTTTATCGTTCCTTCTTTTAAATCGATCAATTCTAGATATTAATCGAAGAAGCTAAAACTTAATTTCATTTGTTTCCCTCAAATTTGACAATATATTGCCCAACGAACACTATCGACCACGGCGAAAGATTTATAAAAATCAATGGAACAAATAAATCGAATATCTATTTTTTATTTCAGTCCCACGCCAGTGGTAAAGCAAGATGGATTGGCGAATGTGGACTGAGCTGTGGCCCTTCCATTGAGGAACCTTTGGTGCCCGCATTGGAAAAATTACGAGCCACCTCGTGAACGGTGTTCAACGACGAATGCATAGAAAGACGTCGTTGCGATCTACCGTCAACCATGCACAAGACTTAATCCATCACCATCCATATAGCGTCACCCCACCACCATGTGCGAGTCGGAAACGTGTGAATGTGGATATCTGGATGCATAAATGATATATTATGTTCCTGTGGAGCAAGACCGGACAAGTACGGATATCCGACAGTGAAAAAAAGAAAACCGTTCTTCTCCCGCGTGGCTTCCTTTCGAAGATACATTATCACGAACGGGTTGATTGGCAAGAGGAATCTTAACAGAGCTGAAACGAACGTCGCCGTTTTTGAATTAATGCGCCTCCTGAACTGACAATGGAACGTCGGTACTTTGGAAAATGCTGATTTTCTTTTGATTCGTCGCTGGAGTTGGAGGAGTTTTATCTGAAGAGTTTTTTTTTTTTTTTTTTAACATCATTCTTTAACTGGAAAAAAAAATTTATTCTCTAAAAGCCAGCAGTTTCAAAATAATCAGAATGTTCAAGTTGTCGAAGTTCCCATATAAAGCGAAGACTCACCACTATCACATGGATTTTTCGCTATAGGCTATAGTTTCATCGTAAATTGTAATCGAGAAATTACAATTACAAATTTTCTTTCGCTCTCATTATATCATCGTTAGTCTCGGATTCTATTTGGTTCGAAATGTACAAAGCTCTGCGGCAATGTTAAACACATGCAATCTGGTTCCTAGAATATAATTCTTTGCGAAACGTCCATCTGGTTTAGGAATATGATTTCGAACAGCCGACCAGTATAAATTTGTAGTGTTTTATTGCTTTTAGGAAAATTAGCAGTCGGAATCTAGGCACGTTTCGTTATCGGTGCAAGGTGGTTGAACCGACTGTGTATTACTCGGTATTATGCGTTTCTGCTGTCACGAAATGTTGCGGATAATTATACAAAACGGTCGTGGAACTTGAACAAAAGTAGTTTCAAAGATACACATGTACGTCATTGCATTTTGTGAATTCGTATTTTTCGTATTTTTCACTTTTAGCTTGTAATTAAGTTATAAACTTCTTTTTTTAACGAATGTAACTTTGGTCTCGAAGAAATGCACAAGAACGTTCAAATCTTAAGTCATGTTTTATGCGATTAAAAAGAGCAACGGGGGTTTCTCTTATCCGGTTCAATTGACGCTTTACATCAAAGTAATTTTCCCAGTATTTTAAAAATAGATAAAGTTGTAAAGAATGTTAATATTAAATGAAAATCAAAAGTTAAACTTTAATGTTAGACTGACTAAACAAAGTGTAGTAGTCGAACACAAAAAACATTTCTAAACAAAAGAACTGATTCATTTTTAACTTATGAAATTATAAATGAAAACATGTTTTTTAAATGGGCACGATTGAAATACAGCGTGTAAGGCGATTAGCAATCTGTCTCGTTGTAATACATGTTCAACTATATATGTATGTCATCGGGTGGGATTGCATTTCTAACAGTTGGTGCTAAGTGCCAAGAGACACAAAATTAGCCTAAGAAAGAGAGCTACTCGAAAATATCGGTCAAAATGGAAGCTAGTAAATTGAACTCCGTTTTACAAGTTCTGCAAATAATTCCGGATAATCGTATAAGTAATTTTATTGTAAAGTAAATTTTAAATTAATCGAGTAAAGAATAGCAAAAAACATGTCACTCTATATTTAATCTTCATCACGAATGTCTTTTTACCAAGTCTTTTAATTAAGCAACGCGCGTACATGTTGAGCTTGCACGAAAGGAACGATCAAAGAGAAGCATTTATGTCGGTCCGAATAATTTTATTTTGAATTTACATCTTTTTTTTTTATTCTAAACGTTATTCGGACGTTTGTATTAATTTTTATAAACAATTGTACATTGTTGCACGATTCAGTTGAACATATAATGTGTATTCTTTGATGGTGTAATGTTTCGTATGTGAGAACATGTTCATCAAGCCCATATTCATTTTAAATTAAACTGTAATTTGTAACTATTTTCCGAAGTATTAGCCCGGCGATAAGCTTTTGTTCAATGCTTTAGGAAATACGTTTGGTAGCAATTTTTATTTAATCCATAAAATTCTTATTTATGATCAAAACATTAAAATTATTATGGGTTTAATAAACAATATTCGTCGTGTATACCCATTCGTCAATACCTTTCCAGTTCTTGAGTCCAAACGGAAAAATTTCGTTCCTTATATAAAGAGACACGTAAAACAAAATCATGCATACAAAACAAAAAACTCTGCATGCACAGGGAATATTTTACCCAAGAAATAATTTTCATGAATAAAAGAATGTACGAATGCTCTCTTTTTATTGACAATCTTATGTACATTTTTATCATCCTGCACAGCATGTCCACTCGAGTTGAATTACTCCAAAGTACACGATTTCATCGATGTACATTGGCCTTAGATTTATTCATTGTATGAAACATACAGTACGGTAAATTATTAATACAAAACAGGTAAAACAGAAACAGATTCGTCATAAAAAGGGAACTACATGATAATATCGAGGTTTGAAGTAAGTACTGAAACTTTGAAATAAAATAACAATATTGCTCCATAATATCAAAAGTAAATTAAATATCAGATAGTTTTGATTCCAAGGACAGTGACTACTCTTATTTTAAACTGTTTCCATATTGCCCTGTTTACGTTACTTTAAGTATTAAGCCGCCGCGAAAGTGACATGCTCTTGCTGCACAACCTTTTAGGGAGTACTAGCTCATGAATTATCGTATAAAATATTTCTTTCATAAATAACTCTTAACATTATTGCATACGTTATTTCACAATTTGTTTGATAGAAAAACAAATTGCTTACATGAGAATTACAAACAGAAATACTGTGTAAATTGTGTTAGAGGTAGGGAGAACGTTCCTCCTTAAAAGATGTGTGCGTGAGAAATTAATTGCTTCTTGGATCACACTAATATTTTACTATTAGTTTACAATAAACATAGCACTGATTTGCTAAGAGATCGGTCAAAATTCTTCTTTGAAGTAATGAAGATAATCTCAGCACCATTATCCTACAAGGACAACTAATCTTGCTCGCAACGCGTGCGAGTACTGACAAGAATGAAACTTTGGTGCACGACGTAATTCATGTTCAATAATAAATAAAGTTGTTGCAATATAGTGATAGATATCGGTAACTTTTCCTCGTCGATCGTGTTCGTTCCTGTGCAAAAAATTTTTAAAAAAATATCGCACAAATGGCTAATTTTAAAATATATGAAAACCAAAAAATTTCAGGAAGAAACTAATGAAACTAAATCATATTTACTTTTAAATAAAAAAAAAGATCTAATAGGAACGAATCGCAGGTGGAACTGTTGCACACTCGTTTTTATCTAGCGTCTTATCTATGACTGGTCTGTAATCGATAGAAACCTGTAAAATAATTTTAGTTAGTTAAATTACATAGAGCGGACCTAATTTGCATATCATATATATATAACAGCTAAATATTTACTTCTCCTGTTTTAAGGTTGATCTTCGTAAGTGTATGTTTTCGCCAGTGTTGGTCCAATGGTTTTGATTGTTGGCCTTCTAGCGGTTTACTGTAATCGTACTCGTCAATTCTGTCTCTGAAATCTTCGCGTGCGTGAGCTCCACGACTTTCCTTCCTATTTTCAGCAGCTACTATTGTTTGCACGGCATTGATCATTAAATTCTGTAATTCTAGTGTCTCTACAAGATCAGAGTTCCATATCAAGGATCTATCCGACACTTTCAGGTCGTCTAACTTTTTGTAAAGGGCAGACATCTTTTGACAGCCTGATAAAATTTTAACATATTTCATTAGTTAGTTGAGTCGTATTTTGTAGAAGTATTTTAAACGAAATTTCGAGCTGTACCTTCTTGTAAAGTTTCAGCTGTTCTGAACACAGCTGCATGCGTTTGCATTGTTTTCTGCATTGTTAATCTCAAGTCCGCGGTAGGAATACTACCATTTGCGTTTCTAATCTTATCTAAATTCGCCACACTTTCCTCTCCGGCATTCTGAAACATATTTGGGTCACAATATCCAGTTTTTATGTTACACTAATCTAAAGTTATCGCAAAAAGAGATACGAACAGGTCTGAGAGGTCCAATAGTTTCGCTTGGCTTATTCTCTTGTGCGATTGTTTTAGCGCATGCACGTCCAAATACAACTAAATCTAACAAAGAATTGGCACCAAGACGATTAGCACCATGAACTGATGCACAAGCCGATTCTCCGCAAGCATATAAACCAGGAACAACTGCGTCCTGGTTATTTTTTCTTGTTAGAACCTGTCCTTTGTAATTTGTAGGTATTCCTCCTAGCATTCCAATTTTTTTTTAGTACTTAATCATTTTGATATTTCACTTGAAGGTAAATTACATACCCATGTTGTAATGTACCGTAGGTATGACAGGAATGGGTTCTCTCGTTACATCAACTCCTGCGAATATCATGGCTGTTTCTGAAATTCCAGGTAATCTAGCAGCTAGTTGTTCAGGTGGCAAGTGATGAAGTTGCAAGAAAATATGATCTTTCTCGGGGCCAACGCCTCTAAATGATTTTAAATTATAAATAGAGATAAATTTTGATTAGTTACATGATGCCTGTACAGGGTGTTTAAAAATCAATTAAAAAACTGTTTTTTCGTGTAATTTTATTAGAAATTCTGTAAAATTTTTGAACACCTTCTATGCATCACTTAACGTGACCTACCTGCCTTCCCGGATTTCAATGGTCATAGACCTAGATACAACATCCCTAGAGGCTAGATCCTTCGCGACTGGAGCATAACGTTCCATAAACCTTTCACCTTCGCTATTTATAAGATAGCCTCCTTCACCACGGCTACCTTCTGTGATAAGACAACCAGCGCCGTATATTCCTAAAATTAAAAATCAGCTTAATCGATACTAATCTATATACGCATTAATGTTTCAGATAATAGTTAAATCAATGATCGAATATCATTTCATACCAGTAGGATGAAACTGTACAAATTCCAGATCTTGATTAAGTAAATTGGCTCTAGATATCATTGCAGTGCCATCGCCGGTACACGTATGAGCAGACGTGCAAGAGAAATATGCACGTCCATATCCTCCAGTCGCTAATACCGTGTTTTTAGCATGAAAACGATGAAGTGTACCATCTTCTAAACAAAGCGCAATCACTCCGCGACATTCTCCATCTTCCATTAGCAAATCCATAGCGAAGTACTCGACAAAGTAGTTGCAGTCATAGCTCAATGATTGACCATACAATGTATGAAGTAAGGAGTGACCTGTTCTATCAGCCACGCAACAACATCTATGGGCTTGGCCACCTTTTCCAAATTTCAACGATTGTCCACCAAAAGCACGCTGGTATACTTTACCTACAATGAAAATAATTATTTTTAGATGAAGTTACAGTGGCGCATAAGCAACATTCAAATAATCGGTAGAACTGCAACAACGTTTAGATACATGGCAACCACAAGCAGTGATTTGTTATTTTTAAATGTCACTGATAAATTTGTATAAACTTCTTTTTTGATACTGTAATAAATTTTGGCAGTGAAAATATTTTTTTTTATCTAAAGTAACATATTTGTGCGCAAAACTGTAGGAACCATTATTATTCGAAATAATGAGCTAACAGATTTTATGAATTCCAGTATGGACAAAAATACAAAACAAACCTACGAAGATTCCAATGAAGAAAATAAAAAAAATGAGACAAGTAAAGAATATGAAGTGGACTTCATTAACCATGCGCAAACGATACGTGAATCTGATTTAAATTATAAATCTAAACAAAATAAGTAAGTTACTTCTATGATACAATGTATCATAATTCGTTTTTACGACTGACTCGTTATTTCATTTTTTTCGTATATTTCTAGGATGAATTCACAACATAATCAACGCGAACGTAATTATTCCCGTTCTCGTTCACCGAACAGTACCAAGAGCTCTAAAAAATGGATAAGCTCTAATGCCTTTATCAATTTTGTACAGGACTTCAGACAGGTAAGTAAAAAGGGTGTTTGTCTATTTAGCTATTAGTAAACAGGAATCTATTGTTTGCAGAATTGTAGAAATGAAAAGAGTACAAAAATATTTCAATTAGCTGGGGAAAGATGGAGAAAAATGTCTTTTGAAGAAAAGCAACCATACGTAAATGAAGCTCTGAGTGTTAAAAATCAAAGGGTTCCACAGAAAAGTAAATATATAAATAAACTTCAAACAAATACAGAATCAACAAAAAACGAAAATATACCTAAACAAGAGAAAGTAAATAAAAAATCAGAAAGAAATAAAAAGGTTAATTTTATCATTTACTTAGAACACTTGAAGTATTCTAGAGCATTGTTATAGAAATATATTTTCTTTTTAGGAACCCAATAAAGAGACTAAAAAGGCAAGTGATACTGAATCAGACAGTGGTTCAGCCACCTCAGGTACAGCAGGATCAGCAACAAGCGAGGATATGTCAGATACAAGTTAGAGAATAAACAGCAACTGATTATATAAATCCTATGCTGTAGCTGTAATCAATTCATAATTCAACAATTCCTCTGCTTATGTAATTTAAACTCATGTTTCATACAAAATACAAAGTAACAGATATACTTTATAATAATATTACCATCAGAAGTTCTACTAAAAGGCATGCCACAATTTTCCAATTCAATGACTGCTTTTGGAGCTTCGCGTGTCATGTAATGAATAGCATCTTGATCACCCAACCAGTCAGATCCCTTGACTGTGTCATACATATGCCACTGCCAGTTATCCTCCTCCATATTACCCAAAGCAGCATTGATACCTCCTTGAGCAGCAACAGTATGCGACCTTGTAGGAAACAATTTAGTAATGACTGCTGTTTTAAATCCTTCTGCAACCAAGCCATAGGCTGCACGTAATCCTGCTCCACCAGCACCCACCACAACAGCATCATAAGTATGTTCTACCAATGGATACTGTTTAGAAACACCATCGGAAACTTTTGCTGCTTTCCCATCTGGTGTGTAATGGAATTTACGATTTGCAATGACAGATAATCCCAATTTATTCTGAAATAACACAATTACAAAATTATGACTGAATTTTATTTATAGTATGTGTTAATACAATTATATAGATATACATCATTAGTACATTGCATTAATGATCTATTTATAAAACTTAAAGAAAGTAACACGACATTGTTAGATTCATTATAAAATTCAAATATAATTCGATTATCGATTCATTTTTAAATACATCGATCTTATGTCATTCATGAAATATTTATTTTCAGCGGCAATGGAACAACTCAATTTTCAGATAATTTATTTTTAGAACACGTGTTTCACGATAAAATCGTAAGTATATTTTAACAAATATTTAAGTGTATAGTTATTTGAATGGATTGAAATATATATGAAAAATAATTATTGAGTAAAACAATTAATAATATTAAAACAGAACGATATGTAAAATCATATAATTTATTAACTACAATATCGTAAGCAAGGTTAATCAACCTCCATACAGTTTTATCGGAAAATAATACAGATACATAAAATATTTACCACTTATTGCATGCATTGTTTAAACGCTCGAGAACCGATTAGGTACTTAAATAAATAAAAGAAATTAGTCGCATTTTTGTGAAAAATAGAGATTGCGCAGTGAAAAAATAATGCTGCTATCTACGGTATACCCACGTGCAAGGATGACTTTCGTTAAAGGCACATGTAGGTAAAAGAATCACCCACCACTACTTTCACTCATTCTTGGTCTCTATACGCGAAAAATCAGAAGGGATATCCTAAAGAACAATCGAAAGCCATGTGTTGCGTGGTGGGAGGCCATCTTCCCCTACACTTTCCCTTAACCAAGAAAAACCATCTATGCACGTTATCATACATGGATTCACCATATGGAGGCTAACAGAAATGGTATGTGATCAAATGAAAAATTCTTCGTTTCGTAATATATTTAAATTCAAATCGTTTACATTTGATTAACATACGCAAAAAATATATCACTATAATGAAATACATTTATATTTAGAATACATTGTTAGATACAGTTAGATATAGGATAAATTAACGGGATCCAGATTTAGTACTTATCTAAAACGAATCTATTGCGCTTTTATTCGCAACAAGTACAACAGAATAAATATAACTTTTAAGAAGAGTAAAGATATTAAAGTCGACAAGTTCATAACAAATGGAGTCATAATTTAAAGAAGAGTGCAATTTCCCGCTAATGTCAGCTTCCCGTTGCCGGTGGCTCATCCGCAATTATAATTAAACTTCTAAAGCGTAATGCTGTGGCAAGTTGAATATCGTGTTTGAACCTGATATCAAGACGAGAAAAAAATAAACGGTCGTTCATTTAGGGTAGATAACGGAAATTAGAATCACTGCCACCTACTTTATAGCGAAAAATTGCGTTTATTGTACAGACCGGTTACTTGCGGGGTGGCGCGTATGAAACGAGGGAAGGTCCAGTAATAAATGATACTCCGCACGAGAATCGTCTGCTATATAATCTCTGATCATTCTGTATCCCGGCCGAATCATTATCAATTCAATTGTTGAATTTCTGTGATTTAATTGTTAATGTTTTTTAGACGATTCGGATACATTATGAAACCTTCCCAACCAGTAGAATTTTCCATGATAATCAATACAGATATTCGTTGATATGTATTCGGCAAACTTACGTAATTAATTGGTGGCGAGTATTATAAGGTAAAGGTACATCATTGATGGAATAAAAATTATGTAACTTAAAGAAAAACGTCTTACCAACGTAGTCGTGGGAGGATTTCTCGCTAGCAAAGACGGCAGCTTCAATAGACCGCTCATTTTGTAGTGATGTCACCTTTCCTTAATCAAAATTTTAATTTTAACAATAACACATACACGTCTTTGTCGAACAGGTAATTCGATTCCACTGTGCAACCGATTCCAATTTTTCTTAACTTCACTCCCGCACTTCTTGCACGGCGACGTGAAGCGTTCGAGTCGGTTGAGTACCGACTACTGGTGGAAGCTCCCTGATGAATGCCAGTGCTGCCAATCGCATCGTCGTCAGATAACCTCACCTTTAAGGTACTTGCGAACTTTTTATTTCAATCTGATCAATCGGTTACTCGTATTTTTCTTACGTTTTACACGTTGACAATATATATCCCCTTTGATGTTGCTTTCTTATCGTTTCAGATTTCAAAGTTAACATCTTGAACAGTAGCTAACTGTAAGCGGGAAAATTAAACAATACCGCGAAAAAAATCAAGCGGTTCTCATTTCACGTTGTAGTCAACGGGGTGTTAACGGTATTTCGAATTGTATACTTGTTCGTGTGTATTGGTTTTAAAGGAAAACTACTTGTTATAGGTTGTGCGATGTATCCCGTAGTTTAAGCTATGCTCTAAGTGATGAATATTAAACTAAAAGACACAGGTAGTTCTAATTCAATTGATGTCTGGCTGTTTAATTATACGAGTAGACCTATTAGTGAAAGGTAACTTGATTTGCATTTGATAACCGCAACACTATAATTCAAATTTGACTATTTGTCGTTTAATAGAATATTAATTCCACAAGAAATGATTTTCAAAGATATATATTATATTAGGACGGAAAATCGTAAGCTGCACGGGTTGCTGTATGATTTGTAACATAAAACCTTCAACCGGATAAAAAATCTCATACTTTACGAGGTTGTTAACACAATTTATGCCGGTGTTCGCGCTTAACCAAACTTTATTCCCTGCGGCAGGGGAAGAAAGAGAAAAAAAATAAAAAGATTTGTCGCATCACGGGGTTGACGGCACAAAGCGTGTCTCGTTTCTTCATTGGTCGATTCGTTGTAGGCTCGTCTTCTGCACACATAGGTAAATCTCATACCATATGGCGTGATATCATCACAGACAGATTTTACTAACACCAGAGTATTCGAAGTGTTAGTTAGCGTAGGAGTATTTCACGAAACAGGTTTGCTTGTGTTCGCATACGTATACCCAGCTACAATCGCGCTTGCGTATACAAATTTGTTCAAGGCATACCGTACGTTTTTCAGTCATAAAATTACATAACGCTGGTCTAGAAACTTTGTCCGCATAAGATATGTAAAAATATATTTTCCACCAATAAATGCAAATGATAAATAATAAATATTTATAAGAAATAATATATCGGGTAGCTAAAAAATAACGATAAAGTACGGTAATAAAGAGGTAAAAAGTACTTTGTAGCATTTGAAAAATTTACCAATTGATAAAAAATACTATGCATGGTAGTAAAATTTTTTACCATTGTTTTTCATTTTGCTTTCAAGAATTAACAACGTCCTTGTTTTATCGTGTTTCTTTATTATTATTTTCAAGGTCATTTAAAGGTTACCCTATCTGCTTAAATTGACAAACAAACCAACGAAACTACCGTTTAATGTCTCACAGCGTTCTTCAGTGTAAGTTTCAAACATTATCATCATTTATTTTGAACTTAACTAAGCGCTTACAAACTATAATTTATACTTTTGCAGTGGACAACCTTCTTTCCCAATCAACATGAAACTCTAATTAACGAAAGGAAAATACACGAAGGTATTCGATACGAGCGCACCGTATACATTACGTAACGCCATCATTTTTTTTTCTCCATTGGCCTAAATGATTAGGCTCGTTCAGCAGCTATCAACGTAAATTTTGCTATCGGCAGATCTGATCGATAGAAACGTTTCAAATTAATACACTTAACACGTACAAATTTCCATTTGAATTACAGTAGCTTGAAATTGATCGTAAACGCTAAGGGGATAGCCAGCTGGATGCGCGTTCCGCTCGTTAAAACCGATGCCTTTCGTTGCATGAATTATGCAAATTAGGCGGCAGACAGGTCTGCGTCTCCGGTCTGAATTAATTGTTAACGACACAGCAGGTCGAGCGCGGTATCAAAACATATGCACGAAGGACGCGATACGAGTTTGACGTACGACGAAATATTTAAATATACTCATCGCGCGGTTTACTGTTTCGCGATAACGTAGCGCACTTGTTCTAAACTTTGACAGCGTTTCACCGAGAGGAAGGAAATAATAAAAAAAAAAAAAAAAAAATACAGGAAGAAATACAGAGCGCATCGATTTGATTGTTTCAGTATGCTCGAACGGTAGGCGGAACGTGTTGGGCCTCTGATTCATCCAGTGTCGTGTCGATGACGGGCCGATACGAAATGCTGATCTGTAAAAATATAGAGAAACGATGAGTATCAAGGAAAATTTTCTTCGGACGGAATGTTCATGATTCTCAGCGAGATTTAAACGCGTTTCGCGCGTGCGCGGTTTAATTTAGCGATAAGGAAAAAACATCTTGTTCGATAACTCACCGATCCATCATGCTGAGCCCACGTAAGCGTGTGTTTACGCCAGTGCTCGCTGTACTTACGTTTCTTCTGGGATTCGATCGGTTTCGAATAGTCGTATTCGTCGACTCTTTCCTGAAAATTTAATTATCTTTTCTGTACGATTTTTCCATTTCATTTTAATCTGACTCGGACTTTTTTCAGGTCCTGGAAGACGAAATGGGATGCCCGTACCCTGAAATCATCTCGAGCATGCGATCCACGGGATTCTTTCCTGTTCTCCGCGCCGTAAACTATGTGCATGCAAGCCAACATCATGTTCTGTAACTCCAGAGCTTCCACGAGTTCCGTGTTCCAAATTAGAGATTGATCTTGAACCTGAAATGATTTCAATATATTATTGTTATTATATGCAGGTGAAGAATAATAGAATTCATTGTTTTTAGTATCGTATTGGAAAGGTAAAGTTTTAATGAACTAAATATAATGATGCGCGATTATAGATCTGGGAGGATCTTACATCAGGAGATAAGGGGAATAAACGCGACAGTTTGCGGTTGAATAATTAGCGGAAGAAGAGGGAAGATAAACTTTGAATAGCAATAGTACTGTATCAGTCAATTTCAACAAAACGTAAGTAGTATTTTGAAGTTTTAAAATTATATACTTCATTCAGCTGGTTTAAAGGAGATTAAATTGAATGTGATGGAAAATTTCAGTCGTCTCGCGTCGATTTTTATGTAACATTTCATTCGAATCACGTGCGTTATCAATGATCATTGTGTTCTCACAGTTGTCTCAATTGTAAATGGTAAAAGAATTTTAGCGAATCAAGCGGTAAAAGAATCAAGCTCAGCAAATCTCGGCGATAACTTCCGTTTGTTCCAGATATGTTATAATTTTTATCTAAGTTTCCATGTGTTCTCGACGAAAGTCTAAAGTACGAAACACAATCAGAAACCTTTCATTGTGTAATTTGAAATGATGAAACGAAGAAGAAAGATTCTTTGGGATATTTAAAGAGATAGAAAATTAGCGAGATAAAATATCCCAATTATGAATTTCTTTGACAAACGTACAAATTGTAAAGGTAAGGAAAATTCAACGTTAGCAAACTGTTAGGTAGTTTACGATTACATAAATGAAACAGTTTGATCAATTCACCTACACATAAGTCCGGCAAGTCGCAGGTGTAGAGTCGAGTCATCTCGCGACATCCTCGCTGCAATATATCGCAGGTTCTGAAGACCGAGCAATATCTTTGCATAGTTTGACGCATATCATCTCGCAGCTCGGCGATAGGAACGCAACCTTTTGCGAAACGAGTCGCGTCGAATCGGCAAATGGATTCTTCGCTAACGCTCTACATGAAAAGAAACATACAATAGTCAGGTGTAATGATTCAGTGAAAATTACTGAAACAATCGGTAACAAAGCCTGATGATATTACATCATGGAATGTGATATTTGGTTAATCTTTAACGTTGGTTCAACAGTACTCGAAGAAATGAGATAGACCATTTTCAATTGGACATTGAGTTTGATTGCATCATTCGACTCTGATATATAGGTCATTTGATATATAGGACATTAAAAAAGAAACAGATAATTTACATATTAACGTTACTTGTGTTTGTACCATCATCTGTAACTTCAAAATTATTATTCTACAAAATTTTGTCTCCCTCTAGCGGTTGCTGGAGGCACAGAAAAATCAATATCCCAGACTAAAGATAGTAAGTCTGACATCATTTGATGACAGAAAAGTTAGACAGTAAATTAGCACTTATGGCATATCAATTTGAAGCCTGAGGTTTAAGAAAAATGATTACATAAACGTTTCATCAATTTTTCCAATACAGAATGACGGGTTCTTTGTTGAAATAAACAATCTCCAACTTTCTACTTTCTAATGAACATTAATTTGTACTAAGAATATTGATGCACCACAGCTACCATTTTGCGATACTTTTATGTAATCAAATGATAATTATTATAACTCCAAAGGTGTATGCTCTTACAGTTGCTAAATCATCGTGACGTTCACCAGGTCTGGTCATACAGTCGATCTGATCGGCGATTGCTTTTCCAAAAACAACCAGTTCCAGAAGACTATTCGCGCCCAATCGGTTAGCTCCATGGACGGAGACGCACGCAGTTTCACCTGCTGCCCACAGTCCTTCGATTATACTGTCCTCCTCTTTTTCTCTCGTTAGAACCTTATCGATCAAACCAACTGATCAAACGATAAATCAGTGTTATCAATGGAAACAGCAGAGCACGGTATCCAAGCTAACTCTCATTTGAATCCTATGCAAACTATACTATCTTTGAAATTTTCTGCCGCTACTTAATTCCTTAATTTACAACCGTGTTATGCAGTTTCCTCTCATTGTATTTTCCTCGCACCGTACCTGGGCTCGCCAGTTTGTAGGTATACCACCCATGTTGTAGTGTACTGTAGGGATAACAGGAATCGGATCTTTTTCCACGTCCACACCACCGAACACCCATGCTAAATGAGAAATTCCTGGTAGTCGCGTGCGGAGTATATCCACTGGTAAATGATGCAGTTGAAGGTAGACGTGATCCTTCTTGGCACCGACACCCCTAGATCATTAAGGATAAATTATTTTGGTAACGTATAACTTCGTATATAAGATGGATAAACCATTCGATCGAATATTTCATAAAAT